TCTCTACTAAAAATAGATAAACTACCCCGGTAGAGTGATGCACGCCTACAGCCCCAGCTACCTAGGGAGGCTGAGGCAAGTGGATCACTTGACCTCAAGAATTTGAGGTTGCTGTGAGCTCCAGTGACGCCACATCACTCTACCAAGGGCAACAGAGTGAGACTCGGTCTCAAACAAAGAGACAGAAAAGTAGAGAGTAGACTTCTCGAATGCAGAGACTTTTTATCTGCAGTATACACTAGCATTAGCATCTGGTCCACAGATGTGGTAGTGCAAAGACCCTGCCTGCTTCAGCTATGCCAAACTTTGAGGTTACCTGAGGCAATTGGTGGGTGGTCTCTGAGTTAGGACCAGAGGAATCTCATCAATACTAGTCGGTCGGACATGGGAACATCTTTTCATTTTATAACGATGCCTCTTTGTAGGAGTGGAAAGCATTTCAGTAAGCCGTTTAAAGACAAAACTGCTGGATTCTTTACTGCTTTATACTTAAGGACTTGCTTTGCAATCCTCTTTTGATTATGAAAGAACATAAACGCTTCTTTCTTGTGCCTTCTGAGGAAAAGACCTGTGTATTCTTTCAGTATCAAGGTTTTGCTTATATTATCATTTTTTGATGTTCCCTGTTTCACGTAACATTCACCGTTTGGTAATTTAACAATGGTGAATTCAGCACACGGAAAATGTCAGACATGTTCTGAGGCATAAAACTGAACATAGAACGGTCCCGTGTGCTTCATGGGAATAAAAGGAGAAACGAGGAAGACGCAAGCCGTAAAAACGTGTTGTAGTTGTTAAACTGTGTTCCTTCCCCCAGATCGTGGGATACTGAGGTAGAAGGACCTATTCAAAATGACCATTTTTATATTTAGGCAGGTTTCCTATAACCTCTTCTAAATGGTGTGCTATTGAAGAAACTCTTACAGAGTTTGCTGAAAAAGAGATTCCACGACTTCCAATAGCGTGTTTGAGTGCTTCTAACATCATTCAGGATAGAAATTGTGATTTGAATCCAGCAAAATACTGGATCGTGCAGTTTAATCTCTTGTCTTTAGCACTCCTGATTGTGTAAGAGATCTGGTCATCATTGTCCCCTAACACACAGCTCCCTGTATTGTATACTTCAGAATAACAGCAAATCGTGGACTAGCACGTTTTCTCTCTCCATGCTCTCACGTGTGCCCCTACTGTCCTGCTTCTTTAGTCTTTAATTACATCTAGATTTCCAATCCTCTTAATATTGTTTTCTTTGTAGTCGTTCTCATTTTTTTAGTGCTTTCATCAAGTCTTAGCGCTGAAAGCAAACAGATTATTTTGAGAGAGTAGTAATTATTGCTGGAAAATGATAGAAAACCTTTCCTATTTGTGCCACTGAGTGTGCAAACTCACTTTGCTTCTCTGAGTCTCTGCTTTCCTGACCGTAATGTGAGGGTCCCGGTAAGAATTGGATTAGAGGGTGTTTCGCTCCCAGACACCCCGTAACCCTCCCCAATGTCTTCTTTCTAATGGCATTCATCTGTGCTTATTCTTTTAGGCATTATTCTCTGGAGTTTTAACTATATCTCCATTGTGTCTAGATTTTTTTGTTCTGCATTTGTAAAAAAGAAAAAAGAGAAGGAGGAGGTGGGCTCTCGGTGTGTGACACACCTTTAGGGGGCAAGGCACAATTGTAAGAGGGACTCTACCTAGCAAATGCAAGCAGTGTAACCTGGTTTCTTGTACCCTCGATGAATCCCCAATGATAAAAAAAAAAAAAAAATAAAGAAAAAAGAACGTAAAGAAACCAACCAGAGAATGCCTGATGTTTTGGCAGTGGAGGGAGTCTCAGCATACTCTGGGGCCAGGCAGAACAGGAGGAGTCTCAGAATTCATCTCGGAAAACACGGGGTTTCCGGCACCTGGAATTTAAATGATTGTTGTCTTCTTGTCTTAGTAATTATCCTCTTTATATAAAACCATTTCAGACTATGTTATTGACCAGTGTTAACCATATTATTTCCGATTCAGAATTCCTCTTAGTAGATCTGGTAAGTAATATGACAAAAAGCTGAAATGCCAAAAGCAAGTAGGCTCCTTAAGTTTTCCTTGTTTCTTAATTGTCAGTTGCACTGAAGCGAGTTGAATGTGTTCTGTTGACACTCTTACCCAGTTGCTGAAGGTCTTCAAGTTGAGCAAACCTGATTTTGCTCCTGTTAATTCCATAAACTTTCTACAGATAGAAGAAGCTGCTGGTATCGCTGAATGTTGCCCACATCACTGTCGTTTTCCTGGAATTGATTTGGAACACCCGAGTTAAGCCATCTACCATTCTTCACCCTAGAACCATGTGAATCTAGTTTTTTTCTCCTCATACCCCAGGTCCAGCCTTCATTGTCCAAATACAAGAAGAAAGAAGGTTGGCCAGAAGGAGCAAGTTCCAAAGTTCCGAAGGGACTTCTTTCGTGTCATCTTTAAAGAGGAGACATAAGGACATTAGCTAAGAAACAACTCTAACAGCAAGGCAGCTGAAGGCCTTCTCCCCTGCCCTGGTGTATTTTTTTCATCATGTTGGCTTGGAAACATTGTTTTCACTTTCTTCCATCCCGCCTTTCTCCCAAGTCATCTTAGAATGTCATAGCTTTTGCCTGGGAGACCATTGCAATTTAACCAATAAGCACTAAATGATTTAAAGCATCCAGTAGTTAAGTCTTTCTGCCCCATCCAGTAGTTAAGTCTTTCTGCCCTGACCTCACCCAGCACCCCAGGCTACACAGTCTCTGCCCAATGTGGTCCTAAATCCCCAGATTCTTCCTTCCTGCCTGGCAGATGTGGAAAATGCATCAGCGAGGAAAAATAAAATAAAACAAACAGGTAAAATACAAATAAGAAATGAAAAGGCTGGTTATTTTTTATATTTCTTAAATTATTAATTACTCACTTTACTCGTGAAATTTATTGCCAAACAATTTTATTAGAACAATGTTTCATAGTTATGGTTTCATATATTCTGTTCAAAATGTGTAATACACCAGGTAGGACAGCTTAAAATTTTCTGCTTAAAACAATTGTTGTTTTTTTGTGGAAAAAATGCAGATACATTTTCCATGGCAAATCAATTTTTAGGTCATCCTAAAGACGTATATATGTTTAAAATTAAACCATTTAGTTTTGAGTTTTCTCTTATATAACCTTTCCTAAGATAGCATGATTTCCGCCGCAGTTTGATAACGCGGCAAAATTCCCATTTCATGATAAGTTGGGTTTTAGGAAGAAAGATGAAAATGCTTTGAGGATCCTGAATATAACTTTGAACTTTGAGAAGGGTTATTGGGATTATCTGGGTATCCCCCATGCACACGCAGAGGCACAAATCACCGTGTGTGCTCCAGACTCAGGAACAGGCCTCTGAGGAGAAGCAAGGGGCAGAGCGGTACTAGCACAGCACTTCCTGAGGACAGAGCTGGCTGCAAAGTCTAGCTCCCCTCAGTCAGGCTGGCCACATGAGAAGCCTCCTTGCGGCAGCAGCCTTGTGGGTGGGAGGACAGACGGCCGCACTTCTCAGGCTATCCCAGCACATGCCTGGCTGGCAGTCATGGTGCCAGGGTAAAGAATGAACACGGCGGTTAGGGACATTAGGTTTCTTTCCTTCCAGGATCCTCAAAACCACAACCTTCTAGGTTAAAACACAAACACTTCATTACTTTGCAATCCATCTGAAAAAAACAAATTTAGGTTTTGAACATGGCAAAACAATACAAAACTCTCTATTTTATGTACAATGAGGAATAGTGGAGCTTGACAATGGCTTTGTGAAGACTCAGCTAAGGCAATGATGTCAGGAAGCAGGTGAGGTAGGGTGCTTTCTCTGGGCTAAAGGTTGAACATCTTGAATGACCAGAAATGACTTGAAGAACCGCATTACCAAGTATGAAATACTACACTCTAAATCTTCACTAATCTTACCCTATTACACTAAAGCATTCAATCGCTATAGCTGTTTACTTTAGAAGGGAGGCTTCAAAAACATAGAATTTACTCATAATCCCATTGCCATATCCCTTGGTGACGTGAAAATTATTTCACCAACTGTTTTCCTGAAATGCTTCTATAATACATATTCACAAATTTCACTTCTGTTATTTTAGTCAGTGGCCCATTTTGCGTATGAGAAAAGCCACATTTTGTATTCTAAGTCAATAGACATTGTTAACACAATAAACATCCTTATATGTCATATGTATGTTACATCTATTCACTGTCATCTAAAAACTATGGGGCTATTTTCAAAGTCTGTTACTGAGAAGTGTGTAGGTAGGAATTCCATGTAAAATTTTTTCCTTGGTTAGATTCTTTTGAGGTGATTAAAACACACAGAATATAATTTATATTATCTTACATTTTCTTAAATCTTCTATGATATTTCTATTTTGGATTGTCTTATTGTGAGAATATGTGAAATATAGCCCTAGATAGCAAGATTAATGCATAAGCCTACACCCCTTAGCTTGAGCAAAAGATGCATTTATGGTCCCCCAGCACCAAGAAGACAGAAGAAACTCAGTTGCAAGTACTTCCCTTTTTCCAAGCAGCTCAAAAATGCTTTAGCACATACTTTGTGATTCTTATATCATGGTCTATGATATAAGAAGAAGTGACAGACTGGAGAACTGGGACTCCGTAACTCCAAATGCTTAATTCACTAGACCACATTGCATTTGAAAGTGATAGCCCCTTCCTATGGCACTGGAAAAATAGAAGCTTATTGAAGTTCAGGAAGTTTTCATGCTGAATATGATCTCAAGAATATTGAATTTACTACAATTTGAGCAGTATTTGAGAATTAGGAGTGACAACACATCCAGTTTGTATGAGGCTGAACATTTAAATTATAATCACAATCAGTTTATGAGAGCAGCTATTAAGTAAGTGCCAAATCAGCCCAGTATAGTGAGCTTTGCTGTTTTGAATAATTTGATGCAAATATGCAGATTCAGCCAATATGTTGTTTCAGTTCATTCTGGTCATATGACTTGGGAACAAGGATCCTCTGTACAGAGCACAGTGCGTGACCCTCGTAGCTGTGTTGGGCCAGTGAGGTTACCAGGAATACAGGGCATGGGACAAGTCCCCCGTTCTGTCACTTTTACATTTTGTGTGAGAAGTGGATCAAAGCCCGCAGCGGAAGATTGCACGCAGGAACCAGAAGCCGAGTAGGATTCTGTTACCCAATATTTACCATACTGCAGAGGGTCAGGGATGGAAATAGCTGGCTGGACAGACATAGAGGCGGACAAAGCAGAAGCTCCTTCCCTGCCTGGCAAAGTCTGGCACCCAACGTATCCTTCTTGCGGGACTTCTGGGGAGCGGCCACAGGAGTCAACCACGTAACCACTTTCCTTAGCAGATGGCTGTCCTTGTTTGGCTTTGTCGTCAAGACCAAGGACTATCTCTGCAAGTTGTTTAAATTTGGGGCCAAGTGAGTCCAAGAAGCTGTCATCCAGGTCGTCGACAATAAAACTGCAACAATCTAGGGCGTCAGCAGGAGAACTGGAGGGCTCTGTGCCTTCATTGTCATAGATCAACAAGCAGTCATTGGCTTCCTGGCCATCATCTTCCTCCGCACAGGCAAATGCTTTCTAAAGATGGAAAAAAAGTAGAAAAATTAATTTTAAGAAAGTCAATTGAACAATGTAATACTATTTGTAGAAAACAAGTTTTTTTTTCATTTGTTTTTTGCAGGCACTGCCCCATGTAGGAAGCAAGTTTTTT